TGCACATAAAGGATTTAAGTGCTCTGCAGTCATAGTATACCAAAACTCCTTTCTGATTCACAGCTGGATATAGATATTGTCAAGTACAGCTTAAGTACAGTATTAATATTAGGGAACATTTCTGTTAAGTTTTGCTTACATAAAAGCTGAAGAACTGGACATTTCATATTAGATGACTTGTTTTCATCTGTTCTGGGATTTTCTAAATTGCATATATTTTCCGAAATGATAACACTCATTTACCAATTTGTAATCAATATCATCTTGGTAATCCAATAATTTTAATACTGTCTTCATCAATTTCAGAATTGTCCATCAATTCTGAGAGAAACTTGAAACTTTTTACAATCTGCTCATATGGGTCAATCTTCTTGCATAACTAGATTACCAAGCAGTTATAGACTTGATTTAGAACTTTTATCCTAAAGTTGTCAGCTCCTCTCGGAGAAGCCCTACCATTATTTTCCAGCTGAAAATTTCTATGTAATAATACGTTTGGAAGTATCAGAATAACTTGAGGTGATATCTTCACACAAGCCTTTTGCTTCCGATTCATAGTGTGCAATCCTGTTAGATGAATCTTCTTGGGGTTCTTTAACAAATGAAAGGAAGTATGATGGTAGAAGATAATGTTCAAATGCATCAAAGCCAGGGATTTGTAGTTTTATTAATTGTTTTGGTGAAATGCTCCAGCACGTCTTCCCAAAGAAACATTAAAATAATATATTCCAACTTGACAAACTTTTGGTATAAATTCTTTGCATCTCATTTACATTCAGGCTTCTCTTCTGAGTCATCAAAATATGTTTGAAAGTTTTTAAAATACCTGGACATCCATTTTTACTTGTCTGGACTGCTTTATAGCATGCAGGTCATCTAGTTACAATTAAGCTCTTTAGAGAAAAATCTAGATTGCCCTGGGTATTTAAAATCCTTCATCTTCATGAAGATCCAGTAAAGAAAACATACAGCTCTTGCAAAATGCTAAAATAGTCAACAACTTCAGACACATTAGACACTGCCTTTTCTCCAACAAGATTGAGTGAATGGGCTGCACATGGTACATAGTCTGCATACTAGTTAATGTTTTTAAAGTGTGCTTGCAGTCCTTTCCCTGAGCCCTTCAAGTTAGAAACATTATTGTAAGATTGACCACAGATATTTTCAAGTTGAAGATTATGTTCACCCAGGATTTGTATTTTGTTGAACAAGGTTGTTGATGAAGAATAGTTTTCTATTGGTAGAAATGTTAAAAATCTCTCACAGGGTTTTCCATTATAGTAATATCAAACCACAATGAACAGCTGGTCAACATTTGTCACATCAATAATATAGTATTTGGTTGGTGCAGGACAACACAACACTGACACAATTCAGGACTGAGACAACTCAGCACCAGAAAAACATAACTTTTTTTTATAACCGAATAAAAGTAATTTATTAAGGATTAAAACCTTAATTAGTGAATATTTTTCTTCAAATAACACATTTGAAAAAGCATTATGTAAAATATGAACCAGTTTTTTGTTTTTAATTATTTTCAATAAAGTAAATCATAAAGATATTTATTTTTAATAAAGTAAATTGACATATAAAAAATAATTCAATAAAAAACACCTATTTTTAATAATTATTTTTTAATAAAGTAAATCATAATGTAATTTATTATTTGAATAATTTTTATGTCAATAAACTGAAAACTGACCATTCTAAATTTTAGCACTCTTTTGTTACCACAACCATACACTGTGTGCTATACATATATATATATATATATATATATATATATATATATATATATATATATATATATATATATATTAATGTTCACCCAATACAAATCACAAGAGCCACTCAAGATAAAGGGTTACTGTGGGGACTTATATTAGTGTAGGAAAGAACAAGTGTTAGGAGTATATATATGGTTTTTTATAACTGGTCAGTCCAATGCTGTGTGTAGGTGCTCTGAGTGTATATGGTGGTCTGTTCCAGGATTGGCACCACAGACACCAGAGAATATATCATGGGTAGGTAAACATCATTGGGCCAATAAAACAATAAAACTGAAATATTTCTTAAAATCCATGTGCATTATCATTTACTATCAAAATCAACTATAATCCGTATTTTGATTCAATGATTTTCCTCTTAAATCTAATCAGTATTGCGAGATATGTAAAAAAAAAAAAAAAAAAAAAAAAATCGGAAATTTCAATTAATCAAATTATTAAAACATATTAATAATAATGCAAATATTTTAAAATTTCATGGACAATAAGAGGAAAATATAATCTAACAAAAACATTTGAAAAAATGCGATATTTTATTTTATTTTTTATTTTCTGCCCAAAAGATCTCTGGTTTGGGAAGGAGCGCAACTTAAAAAAAAAAAGACCAATTTTATTTCACCATAATTATAATCTTAAAAATCATTTAAGACTTCAATGAAGACGACTTTTCTTTATTTCTTCAAGGAACTTTCCTTTAGTCTGAATGAAAAATGGTTCATAAATTTTTTTTAAATATATTAAAATCTCGGAAAATATGCTATCCTACATTGGGAAGTTTTACATTTTTAGATGGATTAAATAAATCTTTATTTAATTACAAATATTTCATCTCAGGCAGAAGGGTTCGAAGGCTTTCAAAATTCACTGTAAAATTTTTAAGTGAATAAAATGCAGGTAAAAATTGCATCAGAGGAAATTTTGGTTTTAGATCACCCCCCCCCTCAAAAAATTGTTTTTTAAACTCCACTAGAAAAAAACATGTTAAAAAAAATTCTTTTTTGATTTTTTTTTAAAAACACCATTAAAATTTTCAAATAACTTTTTCAGGTGTTCACATCGTAAATTTAATTCTTTTTTATATGTGGTCTTCTCGTTTTTGATCTTTCTAGAAACATAAAAATTAGCGATTGGAATATTTTTTATTCATATCACCAAACGTTGACTTGAAACCATCCTGTTATGGTTAAAAAAAAAGATCAAAGAAGCTATTTGTGTGGATCTATATCGCACGCACATATGTACATACTCAAATACAAATCATATACAACGACAAACATTCATTGGTTAATAAATCACTACTACGTTGTTATAGACAATTTACAAATTGCAGCAATGCGACAATTTTGTAATCGCTCTATTTTCATGTAGTCAATTTTGTGTACTTTTGGGAGAAACAGATCCCAGAAGCTTTCTTAAGTCTCACCAAAATGCGCTTGTGTCATACCTGAACGTACCTATTCTATTATTAATAGACTCTCCCATACATAATAAGTAGTAGTAATAGTAGCGGTCGCCAGTTGGGCTCAGTGGTGTTGAGTGAGTCAGTCGATGTCGGACATTGAAGTATCAACCATCACAACTAGATTACTGGGTCATTAACTCTTATTTCAAGTTCCTAACGTTTTGTACGTCGGACTCTTTTAGGACAGACTTAGTGAAATACAAGCCTCCACTGTGAAAACTACTCTACAACACAATGGCGACGAGGGATTCGTTTTTCACATGGGAAAAGAAAAACTTTGCATTTACTCTACAACAGCTTGCTGATTGGTCAATGCCAACCAATTAGATTGTCTGCACATGAAGAATAACTCTTCCCACACAGCGATTTGGAGCCTATGGTCACCTATATAAGCAAGAAATATTCTTAGCTAATTAGTGAGAATTCAGCTGCCAAACGATTCCACAACAGTTGAAAACATGCGCCAAACTTCTCACTCACACCACCACTCACATAATCTTTCCTTACACAGCAAATGCTGAGAACAATTATTACAAGAAACTCTTATAAACATTCTTCCAGGAATTTTGAAATACAAAAATAATAGATAAAGAGAGACAACTCTTGTTTTATTCAACCTTTTCTTACTTAAATGCATGCTTTCTTTCAGATCGTTGTACATCTTGTTAAATACATATTTTATGTGTAATGATGTCTTTTGCTTATCCTTTTTCACGTCAGTTTTGTTTCCTAATCTAAAGTTAAATTAATGTAGTGAAGTCCACCACATATCATTGGTGACCCCGACGTGATTAGGAAAGGCCGACTTGATCATTGTCTACTAGTTTATCCAAGTCCACATAAAAATTAGTTGACTTGTATTTGTGTATGTACGTATGTGTGTGCGATATAAATTGGCATATATCCATTATAAAATTAATTTATTAATGAATAAAATACCAAACATTTTATTAAAATTTCAACATATTCACAAATGGTTTTGAAATCATTGAGAAAAAAAAAAAAGACCCTCCGATATTTTATTTTTATTAAAAATAATTTTAAAATGATACAAAAATTATTTAGATCAATTATCACAATACAAAACGGGGTTCAGCAAATTTGTACAAAATATACAATATAGTGGGGATGTCTCTTGGAATGTCCCAGTGTGGTCTTATAGTATCAGCAAGAGATCGCTCACAGAAGGGCCAGATCAAAGTAGCAGCATCTCAGACATTTGCCTGAGCTTATTAAAAGTTGCTAACAGGGCAGCATGTCATGCGTTTGTGATCTTCCAAACAAAAAGCAATGAATGTGACAAAAAAATTAATTAAAAAAAAATATTCGATTTCTTTTTTGAAACACTATAACATAAAAATGAATGATCATGTTCTCAATTTTTTAACCTGCAAAATGCTGCCCGGATCCCTGGTCTGCCATTGCTCTCCATTGCTGATGTTGCTGCCGAGGAAAAAAAATTCCTGTATGGATATGATGTTGCTGTCGTTTTTCAACTTAATTTCTTCTTGGTTGTAGCTGATAAATTCTGTTTTGCTAGCATTCATGTACATACCAATCTCACTGACCGCTTCTTTGTTGAGATGGAGAAGTTTAGTAGCCTTACATTTCTGACAACAAAGCAAGGTCATCTGCGTAAACTACGTCTGTTAATGTTTTCGCTGAGTGCTTTTTCAATGGTGAAAAACTCCATACCTCCATCAGGAGATTGGACCATTGCGCAAGGGTTCTTATACAGCATCATCATAATGGCTGATACTGTCTCTTGCAGGATCCCATAACATGATCTTGTAGCAGATTTCATCACATTAATTTAACTTTAGACTAGGAAACAAAACTGATGTGGAAAAGGATAAACAAAAGACATCATTACACATAAAATATGTATTTAACAAGATGTACAATATCAAACAACGATGTGAAAGAAAGCATGCATTTAAGTAAGAAAAGGTTGAATAAAACAAGAGTTGTCTCTCTTTATTATTTTTGTAATTCAAAGTTCACTGGAAGAAAGTTTATGAGAGTTTCTTGTAATAATTGTTCTTAGAAGATTTGCTGTGTAAGTTAAGATTATGTGAGAGTATAAGGAATGTTCAGCATGTGAGTGGTGATTTGAGTGAGAAGGTTGGCGCATGGTTTCAACTGTCGTGGATTCGTTTGGCAGGTGAATTCTCACTAATAGTTAAGAAAATTTCTTGCTTAAACAAGTGACTATAGGCTCCAAATCGCTGTGCGGGAAGAGTTATTCTTTGTAAATTGTCTATAATAACATACTGGTGATTTATTAACCAATGAATGCTTGTCGTTGTATGTAATTTATATTTGTGTATGCATGTATGAGTGTGCGATATAGATCAGCACAATCTCTTCGAGTTTGTCACGATGGATGGAGTTGAAGGCTTTGGAAAAATCAACCAATAGAAGCACAGTTTTGAACTTTTGAGGTTCTTGGCTTTTAGTTTTGTTATAAAATAAAATAAGACATATTTCGGCTGATTTACAGGCAAATAAACTAACATACTCAAGAGCGAGAGCCAGATGTGAACGGGACAAGGCCCTGTCACAAAATGATCATTATCTTCGTTTATGCATGTTCCCGATGCACGAGTTCTGGTCGAAAAATAAAATAATATTTTAAAGTGTTTCTATTTTTCGACCAATAAAAATGCTTCCCTCCTAATTAAACTTGCGTTGTTTTTTGAGCCTGTTAAGCCATAAAAAAACATCATAAAAGGGGTCACACGGAAGTACACCAGGAGTCAACAGGAGGCCAGGGAAGAAACCTGTCACGGTCAGCCATCAACAGTCAACAGGAGGCCAAGGAAGAGACCTGTCACGGTCAGGTTGAGCGGTCAGCAGCAGTTGCGCCACGCCAACCAGTGAGAACTACTATGAGAGATCAACCCAGATCTTCAGCCGGCTTATGAACTATACCACAAGGTAGCTGTCCCAAAACCACACGTTCCTATTGAAATAAATCACGTAAATCTATTTCTCCTGTTGTCGTATTTCTTTCTTGCAACCATATGCTTGTCTATAACAGTTTTTACACCTTCAATTATACAGCGGATGATTAGAATTTGGCCAATTGCTGATCTGTTTTGTCTGAAACCGTTTTGTTTTTTGCGGACGAATTTTGTCCAGCTTGTGGGAATCACTTTGACTTACATGTGCCACACCTCCGTTTTCTTTATTGTCATTGGGTAATAAATACATGATACTTATTATAGAACAATTTAACCATCGCAGGTAATTCAAATTTTTCTCTAAAATCACGGATTGGTCCATTTCCTGACCAATCGCGTATGTTATTATCTTTTCTATATTTTGGCGCCAAGCCATCCGGAGCCTAAAACTTGTTATATAAAGACTCTCGCTGTTTGCCAACACAGTAGCAGTTCAATTCTTGGAAAATAAGGCACGGCGCTATACTGACATTTTTAATTCTTAATTATCACTCAATCGAGTAATCATACTAATTCATATTGATATCACTCATGAACATTACATTTTTCTACACTGATAAAACACTGTGGAACTATTCTTTATTTAGCTAAGATTTCAATTGAACTTTGTAGTTAAATTACATTCAATTTTGTACTCAACATTTATTAGCTAAACTTACCCTTTTTATTACGGAAAAAGGGGAACAACTTTCTTTATACTATTGTTGATATTTGTATATCATTGTTAATACAATATTTTATTAATGTTCACTGAGCTTGATTATTTTTCTCTCGTGTTTGTTGTGCATTATTCATGTGGGGTGTTGTTTTACAAGAACACAGCCTTCCTTCTTTATTATATTCACGGTGACCCTAGCCAACAATACTTACAGCACCACTACAAGCTCAGGGCGGATGCAATTCAATAAGAGCAGGTTGAAAGATTCAAATGACAGTTCCTAAAAATTAAATATAAGTGTTCTTTTTGTTACCATTTTTTTTTTAGACTTCGTTGTTGCTCCTATGTTCGGTCCATGGTATTGTCATCATTTTTCTGTAGAACCAAATTTCTAATGCTTTTCTTCATCTGTGATATTGTCTAGCATTCATTGCCATATAGGAGGGTTCAGGGTTAAATGTAGCCGAGTTGTTGATGTAAAACGTTTTCTGATTGGTCGTTGAGTTTATGCACTTCCGGTAGCCATTATTATTTCAACTAGGAACTGCATTTTGTTTTCATGTGTATATCGTAGAGGTAAGTCAAAGTTACGAGACGTTTTAAAATATTTTCTTGCACTTTTACTGAGAACTTCTATTTTGTTATCATTAAACAATATTTGTAATGTGAAAAATAAATTTTTATTATCAATTTATTGTGAAGTGATATTTGTTTTTTGTATGTCGACATGCAAAACTTTTTTTTTTTTATAAATAAACAAAAATGTATCTGGTTTAAAAGTTTTTGCATAAAAATAAAAAGTCAGAGTTCATTTTTTCGTATTTCCAGTTTGAAGGAGGGTGAAAATGGCTTAAATACAAATATGTAAAAGTTATTAAAGTACAAGAATAAAAATATTTTGTAAACACTTTGGATTTAGTTTTTTTGGGAATAACTCTCGGAGAAATAGGATCAACAATATGTTACAATAATCAGATATAGTTTTTTTAATGACATCGTTAGTTGGAGGCTAACAAACAAACCGAGTATTAATGAAAAATAATGCATAAAAAATTTCGAATGTCTAATAATCATCAAGTTTTTTGAAATTCATTTATGTTTTTTTGTATCGTCAATGAAAATCTTATTCTTATATTGAAAAATACTAATTAAAAATATTAAAAGTGAGTTCTTACAATTTTTCTTACTTTCACGACAATCATAAGAGCTTAAATATGCGTCTTGCGAAGTAAAAAAAAAAAAACAAACAAAAAAACCCCCAATAATTAATACAGTTCGTTTGAATTAAACGGCCACGAAGCAAGGCCATACCTCTGAAGTTAATCGTTAAGTAAATCGGCTAAAAAAAAATCACAATATAGCCGCTGACCAAATTCGATGTCAAATAAAAATCTAAAAATAAACTTACTTTTTATTTTTAATCTTTACTCGATTTATTGTCAAATTTAAAACGTTACAAAATGTTTGCATCAGTCAGTCAGTTATGTGCCATGCGTGATACACGCTTAGGCGATCATGTGACTAGGCAGATTTTTCCCGCAGTAGGTTGCCATTTCTTTCTGCGGTAGACTAGTTGCCATTCAAGGTTATAGGTTATAGAACCCGGACTGTCCTGCTTTGGGAGCTTGGGGGAGAAGAGACCTTTCTCAAGTACGTAAGTGATTGCAATAGATTCGACTGGAATTCGAACTCGGCTCTCTGATTCGGATTCCTCAATCCGAGCCGCTATCCATTATTCCATAAATGTACAGTGACAAATTCGTTTTTGACCGTTCAAGGCTGAATTGCATTCTTTCTTTGTATAGTGGCTTAAATAAAAAAACAATATTTTATTTTTGTAAACTATTTATTTTTCTGTATTTTACTCAACAAGTAATATTTTTGATTTGATTTTCTAAATAAAAAAAATACATCTTACACTACACACAAATGAAATACTAAATCAATCAGAAAAAGCATTTTACATGGAAAACAATTGCAAAATAATTTTTATTTTAAAAGTGGTTTGTATGCCGACATGAGAAATTCATGCACTAAGTAAATCCTTATTTAAATAATCAACTCCTCAGCAATATTTTGAAATTGTGTAGTCCTGTAAAAAAAAAATTTAAGGAAAATTTAAAATCCTTTCTTTTAAACTGTACATTGCAATTGAATTAGCTAAATATAATTCCCTACATACAGTATTAACTTGTAATATAATAATTAATTCCTTTACAAATTCTACAGAAAGCAGTGTTTCATATTGAAGTACCGGTTCTCATATGATCATCAAGTTAAACAGTGTCAAGCCTGGTTAGTACATAAATGGGTGACTGCTTGGGAATATGAGGTTCTGTAAACATGGATGTGCAGGTGGTGTAATGGATAATGGTTCTAAATTGTTAATCAGAGAGCCAAGTTCCAAGTCCTGTTGGGTTCATTATATTCATTTAGGCACAAATACCCTTGGCAAAGGTATGAATCCACCACGTCTACCTCCAACTATGGGTTAATTAATTAGTCAGACTTGTATCACTAAATCAGTATCTCCAAAAAATGAATTCTTACAATCTAAAAATATTTTCTGGCTTTAAATAACCTGTAAATGTTGATAATTCATAGAAAACAAATCAAGCAGAAAGTAATGTAGGAGATATACATTTAAGTACCACCAAAGAAACACGATACCTAATGTTTAAAATTAATTTTAAAAAATAGAAGATCTTTCTTGATGCTTTTATTTTAGTTTTAATTTCAAGTTAATAGATTAAATTTAATATTTCCAATAAGCAAAATACTTTGCTGTATTTCAAAACTAATTTAAATTGACTGGAAGGAGTTTTTTTATTTTGTTTTTTAAATTGCTAAAAATCACTGATTTTTGAACTATTTTTAGCCATCTGCCAGCACAATGTAATTCTCTTTAGCAAAAAATCTTCCAAAATAAAATATACTTTTTTGAAACTTTATTTGAGGAATATTAGCTGATTTTAAGTTTAATTAATCTGATTTGAAACAAATATTACTTTTAGTTTATCTATCTCTGTGTTGCAAAATGAATTTCTTTGATATTTATCACAGAAATGCATTTTGTAACACAGAGGTAGATGTTTATGTTGTTCACAACTTGACAGCTGGAAGTTTATCTATTTTTTCTACAAGGTCATATCGCTAAAAATTACTTTAATATAATGTGAGCACTTTTTTATATCATTTTTAACTACACAGTAATCTTAAAAATTTATGAAGATATTCTTTGTAATCTAATGTTTTATTAAATTTCAAGTATTTTAGACTTTAATTTACTATAGTTATTGCTTTTATTTTTTGATAAAAAAATCAAACCCAAAAGTTTTTATTGCAATTGCAGTATTTTTTATCACACATTAAATGAAAGAAGTGTTAATAAAAAAACTAAAAACACCTTTATAAACTTTAACCTCTTATGTTGCATGCAAAAAACCTTAAAGGTAAATTTTCTTTTACTGTATTTATTATCCCTTCATTAAGAGAAACTGTATTGATTTGCTTATAAATTTTCATGTATTCTTTTTTTTTTTTTTTTTTTTTAAATTTGTGGCCTGTATTTCAGATATGGAATAAGTGCCTTGTCTCACTGTCACTTGTTTAGTTTGTTTTTCAAATAAATGTATGAGATACTTCAGTTTAATTGGAAAGTATGCCGTAAATATAATGTGGAAAGTGCTGTTTTTCCAGATCAACTCTCCAATGCTTAGACAAATTAATTTTATGACTGAGAGACATGCAGAGATTTGCATCAACAGGGTTAAAGTGGGAATTTGTGTGTTCATATTCATCTATGCTATTGCAGCATGATGATATCAAGATTGAGAACATAAAACTATAAATTTGCTATGTACCTTTGATATGAAATTTAAACAAAAATCATCTATAATATCAAATTAATCATCATAAGAAAAAATAAGTGCACTTTAGATTCACTGGATTCTAATGATAGATTCAAGTTCTACAATGATTTACTTTCTTGCAACACTCATTTGCATAATCTATTCATTTGCATAATCTATTCATGTCCAAAATTGTAAAATGCAGCTGAATTCCAAATAATAATTTTTAAAGTTTCAAAAGTGTTGATGTATTTTTTATTTACTCTCTTTCATAGATTAAAATCAATATACAAAATGTTTAAATTGTATTTTAATATTAATCAAATAAATTTTAATGAATCTTTCAGGGTGTGGTTATGGGTGGGATACACCAAAAGAACAGCCATTATTCTTACCTTAGAAACATTTGAACATTTAATCATATCTTATAGACTGAAAGCCTTTAATGATTATTTAAATATGAAATTTATGGAATAAAATATGATTTATTGGAAATTTATAACTGACTAAAGGTGATTAAATGAATACAGTTAAAGAACCCAGAAAAGAAAATCGTTAAATTTAATCTTGGAGTGTTATTGTTATTTTAGTGATTGTATTATTGCTTAATATTTCTCTTTCTTAATTTTTCAGATAATTACTCTCATTGATTGTGAATATACTTCTTAATTATGACAAGGCATGCCAAAAACTGTACAGCTGGAACTGTATACACCTACCATGAACGCAAGAAAGACACTTCTTCATCTGGATATGGAACCAAAAGTGTGAGAGTTGGAAAAGATTCAGTCAAAGTGAGTTTATATAACATAGCAAAAGGAGTTCAAGTTCTGGTTGAAGCTATTTCTGTTCACTACATACTGTTAACCTTTGTTTCATGTAAAATATTCCTTTTTTTTTTTTTCCTTTTTTTTACTGGTGTCATAACTTAATGCTATCTGTCAAATGGTACTTAGAGAGGAGATGGGCGCCACTTCATGCCTTCTGAGATGTTGCAAAGAATAAAAATACATTGTCATTGGTGGAACTCATTGCCGAGTATTGGAGTGCACATTGTGTTATACTGGAACACACCTATTGTTAATAGACTCTCCCACCTATAATAAGTAGGAGTAGTAGCAGTCACCAGTCGCTCAGTGGCCGAGTCAGTCAGTCAGTCGATGTCGGACGACCATTAGTTGGATATTAAAGTATCAGCCACCACAACTAGATTGCTGCATCATTACCTATTATATCAAGTTCCTAACATTTTGTACGTCGAACCTATTTTAGGACCGACTTAGTGAAATACAAGCCTCCACTGTGAAACTAACACATTGACATTTCCTTCTGTGTGAAATGTGTCCTATGTTGGATCTGAAGAGATGTCCATAGTCACTGCATGTTAGGACAGAAGAGTTCAGGGCATGGATCGCGCTCTGGTTTTTCTTTGGGCTCTTTTCCTCTCTTCTATTTGTCTTTTGGTATTTTTGAAGGATGTTTTTTTGTTTTTTTTGTGTACTGCTTTTTTCCAATTGATTTTTGCCCTCAGCAAGGATCATGAAAGCCTTGGCTGTGAATTGTTTAAGGTTATCCATGGATCGCCACTCCATGACACACGCACTTCAACTGACATCATCTGCTGTGGCAAACCAGGGCTTGACAGGCAAGTTCATGATGACACATTGCAATGGACTGCTGACTTGTTCTCATACGTAGAACATTGCCTTGACTGCCTACCCACTGGGTATCAGATTGTGCTTAGTCTAGTTCTTTCCCTGAATCCTTACTGCCATGAGTAAATCCATCAGGAGATAGAACTACCATCAGTAACCCTACCAGGAGAATAAAAAAATGGCTTTCCTGTGAGGAGAGTAAATATAATGTTTGTAGAGATTTTTCATTCTTATTGTAAGGAATATGATTTGGGGCTTAAACTGTTTATACTCAAGTGTTTCAATATTTTTATGATTTCTGTATTATTGTAGTGGGGGAGGAGTGTTAAAAATTATTCTTTTATCCCAAACCTCTCACATTTTTATAGAATAAATGTAACTGGTGTTGTTTTGCTTGAACTTGACAAAATGAAGGAGCCACCTAAACTGATTTGCTTCTTGGTGCAACAACTTGGAATGTTGTTTGCTTTTAGTTCATGAGAAATAAACTAAACATTGTGCTGAGGATTCTGTTGGAATTAATAAGCTAATAATTGTTCTGAAAGTGAATTCTGTAACATAACAGACATTTATAGCAAAGTTTTTAAATACTATGTTGTACTTAAAAGGAGATGTCAGTTTTACAGGTGGTCACATGAAAGCAAAGCATGTCATCTGATTATATGGATTGAGCATATGTCAGGATTCTATAGCTTTAATCATGAAGATATACCAAAAAGCAATTAGGCAACTACAAGGGTCAGTCAATGAGTAAGAAAACAAGTAACTAAAAAAGAAGTCAGAGTGCGGAAGGTGTTAAAAATCCTTCTGCCATGTTTGATTAAAGAAGGAATCTCTTTTTCAAACTTCTTTACTCTCCATTCTATATCCAAATAAAATGAAAACTTACAACCTCAACAGTTCAAGTTGTTATTTACATCATTCTGACTGTTGTCCTCATCTTTATTGCCATATTCATGATGTTTCAGCCATTGTATGCTCCTGCCTTCTTCAGGTAATATGCATTGGAATTTTGAATCCGGGGTAGATTGTTCTAATTCCAAATGCCATGCCTTTTTTTGGATATTACAGTTTCAGTTAATTCCCTTTAGTAATTCAACTCTCCAAGTTTTGCTTCCCTCTGCTGTGGCCAGGTATTGAACTCATAACTCTTTGGATCAAGTCACTTTTTGGATTACTTCTAAAGAAGGCCAGAGTGTGAATATGGCAATAAAGATGAGGACAACAGTCCAAATTATGAAAATAGTTACAATACCCCATCTCAGAAATATAGACAGTTCAAGGTGTATTTCTAAATCCTTTACCCCCTAAGACAAAGATCACAAACTCTTCTGAAACGTATTACAATTTATTACATCTTTATTGTTTCAATTCTTGCTAAAAATAATGTCTAAAATTTTATTTTATTTTTAATCTTAAATTTTTAATCAGTTGACAAAATATCTTTTAAAAATTTTCTTCATTCAGGTTTTTACTCTGACAATGAATTGAATAGTGATTCATAGACTATTATAAAAGTCATATTGGCAGTTTTTGCCCTTGAGCGATTGATAGGATATTTCTCTGAGATGAAATCGCACAAAAATATGCTGACCCTAAGTGGTGAATTGGTAGAAAACCCTTTTTGATTCTTTTTTTGGATCAGTGAATAACTATTTTTGGTTTTATCAATTGGAATAAGGGAAGTAACTTTCATTTGTTTTTATTTTGTGTTATTTTTCTGAAAACCCTTTAAAATCTAAAGAGTTTTTTTATTTTTATTAATTCATTTGGGATTTTAATTTTCATTGTTAATTTCCTTAAAGTATTATTTAGAAAAAATACTGTTGACTAGAAATAAGTGATTCACTGATCAATTTACAGTGCGCTAAAATTAAGGAAGAATATAACACATTTATAGTCAGTTTATTTTTCTACCAGTATCAACTTTCTGTATAGTTAATCAAAATTTACATCTAGTTCTACAAGAATCATCTGTAAAGAGATTTTAGATATGTTATTCTGAAAAATCAGAGAATGTCATCTAACTTTGTGCTCCAAATATTTTGAGTGAATTAATAATAACATTCACAAATTTCATACAATTTTATGAGTTAAAAGAATTGTTTATCTCTTCTTAAGCATTTTTATTAAGAAATATTCAAAACTATATTTGAAAATTTTTCTGTTTTAATTTTGATTTATTTAAATAGAACTTGTTCAGTATTAAACTATTATTGTATACAACGCTACATGTGCCCCAACAAAAAATGGCTCCTTGTCACAATTAAATGGAATGTTGGTATAGAGATAAATTTTTTATTTATCAAGATGTAAGAAAAATTTGAAATTTGCTCTCAATTATTTACTTTGATAAAATAATTATTTTGAAATTTCTTTACATTCAAACTTCATTCTTTTTGTTGTATGGTTTTCTTTTTAGGATTTTGACTGTTGTTCACTGACCTTACAACCTTGCAGAAATCCTGTGGTCACGTAAGTTTGAACATTTCATTAAAAATAAAAATAAATGAATACAACATTATGCTTTTCATTAAAAAGAAAAAGATGAGTATAAAGTATATTTTAGAATAGCATTTGATTTTTGAAAAGACATTGTTGCAATAAGTTCTTTCTCTGAGGTAAAGCTTTTGCTAGTAACTGTTTTATATTAAAGTGTAGTATCTGTTCTTAGTTTATTTGGAGCATCTGAAAATGTGTTACTGAAAAAGGTTAATTTTCATTAAAACATTTAAGGCTCCATTTATAAATTTTCTTTGGTATTTTCTGAGTCTGTTTGACATGTATTTGTCTACACTTAAACAACTGGTAAAATATTTATAAATGCTATGTGTAGAATTTGTATTTCTTGAAAAAAATAAGATTGCAATTTGATCAATCTAAACTTGAAATATCAATAGTAAAGCCTATTCTATAAAAAGACTATAGACTGCTAGGGTTTATACAGTAAAATATATCTCTATTAATATGTACATACGTAAAATTTTGTTTTGTTTAGGCCTGATGGTCATTTATATGACAAGGAAGCTATTCTTGAATACATTATTCACAAGAAAAAAGAAATTGCCCAAAAAATGAAACAGTATGAAAAACAGAAATCTCAAATGAAGGTAAGTTGCAATTGAGTGAATTTTGACTTTTTGTCATATCTCTGTTATGTTGCCAGAGAATATATACTTTTTTGAGAATTATTTCTTGGAATGTTTAAATCCTGATAATATTAAGTTATTTAAAGTAACAATCACTAAAAATGTGATGTAACATGGAAGGTGAGGGGGTTCTTTAGTTTTACTACTGCAACTGGAAATTTTCTGTGTATTAATCCTGTGTTTATGCATATATATTTAAGTGAAGTTTGCTGTTTCATTCATTTGCAACTCTCAGAATGGAAGAGAAGTGAATTGTAATAATAATTGCACAACCAAGAAAAATCAAATGTTTAATATTTATTTTTCTCATTCTCATTAATATTTTTGAAAGTTGTCCTTTTTTTTTTTATAAATATAGTTTACTATTCTTTTTCTGTTGCAAATAATAATGCATATAATATCTACACAGTAAGTTTTAAAAAAATATCTTAAATTCGTTTTTACATTTTAATAATCTTAATGCTATTCTGAGAAGAAATGATAATTGCTCTTTTAATTTTAAGTTATGGCCTAAGGTAATTAAAAATGTTACATGATTGTTAATAAATTCAGAATAAAACGTCTAATTATAATGATCCCTTTGTAGGCAGAGCAAGAAGAACTTGGTCGAGCTGAAGTTGAAAGCCGTAAAAAAGCATTTCTGGAAAACGAAGGCAATCCAGTGTGTGCTGTGAATGGAAGCAAAGAGCCTAGTGAGTTGTAGACAACATTTTATAAGTGCTTCTTGATTGCTTTGTTTAGTTTATTTGTGATATTTCAGTACCAAACTAATTAACCTTTAGTTGTCTTTTTGCTAAAAATATTTAGAAGTGCTTACAGCCATATCATGTTTAAATACCATTTCTCATCCAACACCAAAGTTGAGCCTGCTCAGTAGTTAGATGGATGACAGCTTGGGAATATCAGGTGCTGTAAGCTTAGATATGTGTGTGAAGTGTAATGAATAATGAGTCAGAATGGGAAAAATGTATAGAGTTTGTTACATTCACTTTCACACAAATAGCGTTGGGGTAAGTATCAATCCATCTCCATGTCCTAGGTAAGACGATAAACTATGTCCAGTAGCAAGGTCTCTGATCAGGAGGTTTTGAGAAGTGTGGAACCACCTCTTAATTGCTGGTGTTCCCAGGTCCACCCTGACCACGGGGTGGTAGCACCTGTTAAGGTCCCAGCTATGGGCAAATAGTTAACTATTACCAGCAATACTTATTTGAAAAAAATTATTACCAGCATTAAATATCTCATTGAGGTTGATATACCACAAAATAAACCAAACCAATCTAAACCAAAGAATACATATTCTATTCATATGAATCTATCCTAAAAATGTTGTTGGCATTAAATAATCCATTGTGGTTGATATACCGTAAAAGAAAATTAAACCAAACCAATCCATCACTTCTGTGCTCCAGAATTTTGATAAAATCTCAAGAGTCATTAGTGACATTTTTAGAAAGGGAATAAAAAAGAAAAGTGATATTCATGAAGATCCTAATCTTCATTATCAGCAAAATGTCAAAAGGCTAACATATAAAAGAAGTTATTTCATCGTAGTCTTTTATCATGCTAATGAGAATGATGACATTCTTGAGAAATTAATTTAATTTTGGTTAAATTTGATCAGAATTTTAAACTATCTTTCCAAATAATGTAATATTTATTAGCACTCATATTTTGATTCTATATACTTCCAAATATAATGTTACTGTTAATTACACTTTATTCATTTTTATAAATTGAAAGATGAAGGTGTTAATTTTGTAAAAGACTTGTTAGTGTTAAAGAAAAAGTGTTCCATTTAATGTCTAGCCTATATAATTGGATGTTCATATATAACAATGACAATGATTCCACTGCCTCTTATCAATAAATCATCAATTTCAAAAACTGCCACTTTTTATGATATCTGGTTGTCACTTGTTAACATCAACTAAATTCTGTAATAATATATTCTATTTTAGGGGAATATTTCATTGAATTTTAATTATCAAATTTTGATATTTAAAAAGATGACCAAAGCACTTTACTGCAATAAACAGTTCATAAAAACATTTAATATATTTGAAAAATTTTTATATTGTTTCTCTATGCTGTTGGTATTTGAACAAATTTGCTTGGTTTCTTTTGCAGCTTTTGCAACTTTTGTATTGCTACATGCATTTTTTCTTTTGTGAAAACAAGATTGTTCAAATCATAACCATCTTTTATACAAAAATGTCAAGATAAGTTGTTTCCCTTGGAAATCACCAAATCAATTCCTGTGTCAGCACAGAACTATCGACTATATGGCTGTGTTGGTATCCTAAGGAAGAATGGATGAATTCTAAATTCTGAAGGATTACTATTGCCTTGGATCAAAGAAAGTATTCCATTCAGCATTTCCTGAAAGTTATTGAACATGACCAACACTTGAGAAAGGTCAGTTAGTATAACAGCTCAAGTGTTGGCATAAAACCAAAAAAGATCAGGAAATTAGTATGAAAGAATCATCGTATAAAATAATCTTTATTTTTCTTTCAGTCAATATTTACTTTTGCAAATGTCTAACTATATAAATATGTTATCACTTATCGTGATTGAATTTGTGTTCATATGCAAATCAGATGTATGGGCCAATTCAGACATGTATTTGATATTTATGGAGAAAAACTCTGCACCTAATTGGATTCATGTATAATGGTGATTGATTTCATTTGAATATTTTCCTCTCTCTGTTTTGTTTGGTGTGGTCAGATGTTTGTGAGTTGTACATTATGAATGCCAATGTCTTGTTTCATGTATATAAATTTTTTTTTTTTTTTCTAACCCAGAACCCAGTACAAGCAGAAATCAGGCCAGCATCAGCAACATGAAGATAGGAAATGAAAAAGCTTTACCCAGCTTTTGGGTTCCAAGCCTCACTCCCAGTGCAAGTGCCACAGTAATGGCCAAACCAGTGAGTTCCTCTTCTCTTTCAAAATATTTATTCCTTTTTGCAACATGTCATTCCTTTCTTCTTTAATATTCTCTACTGGAATTATAAGGAACCGAATTTTTAATTGGCTCTCAAAATTATCAATTTTAGTTAATTATAGTTTCAGTCAGTCAATTAAGTGCCATACATAATCCAAGCTTGGGTGATCATGTCTCTTTTGTTTCATGACTGATTAGGCAGAAGATTTTCCTGCAGTAGGCTGCCAACCAAGGCTATAGAACACCTTTTTTTTTCCTGTTATTCAACCCATAGCTGAGGGGGGAGAAGAGATAGATTCCTACTTTTCCCAAGGGTGTTTGTGCATAAGTGAATGTAACAAACCCAACTGGAATTCAAACTCAACTCTCTGATTTCTCATGCTGAACAATTATCCATTACACCACCTGCACATCCCAATTATAGTTTACTTGATTAATTATACACATAAAAGTCTAATTCTCTTAATAACTGTTGTATTTGTTTCCAAACACTGAAAATTTTTCTCCTTCTCATTTTTAATGGACAACACACAGACAACATTTAAACATAAATAATGCCTACTGCAAGTGCGCACACACACACACATACACACATGCACACTGATTGACTAGTCAAATGCACATGAAGTCTGCTTAACCAATGAAAATCAAACAACACAAAAATACCATAAAATTTTTTTTCGATATCTCATTCTCTGGTGAAGTTTTAATAAAAGTTAAACATGTCAAATTTATAAACATTTCCTATTTATTCTTTATCCTATCATTCTATCAGTTTCTCATCCATGTTCTATCCCAATTCATATGTATGTATGTATGTATATAATATCCTTATTTTGTATTAATAAAAAACACTAAATATCCGATTATGCTTTAGATTATTAGCAAGAATAAATATCAGATTAATCTGAGACCAGAAATGTTTTCAGTTTTTGAGCTTCCAAAAGAAGATGGTTGCTGTATCACAGGTTGTACAAACAATTTATGCTTCAAATATTAAAACTTAATTTTGCTAACTTGAATTTTTTTCATTGTTCTGACAATTTGATATTTATTTTCTGTAACATTAAAAAATGAATTCCTGAAGTTATCTTTTATTCAGATACACAATTGAATATTGATAAGTTTTCTTAGTGATTGGTTTGTTTATCATTTCAAAGGAAACAATGTTTATTACTAATTATTCAAAATAGTATCAACTGAAGGAAGATTCAGGAGGACATTGCTAAATAAATATTCTAATACTTGTAAAAGATATTACTTTAAAAAAAAAAGTTTGTGCTTAAGCTGGTTATGTTTCTGATGTTTATAGGATGAAAAAGTTCGCTGTCCTATGAGTGGCAAACCTCTTAAGTTAAAAGATCTGATTGAAATTACATTGACTCCAATCAATGACCGAGATCAGAAGACTTCTCTTATTACTAAACAGGTTCGTATTATTCACCATCAATAGCATCTTCATTTCTAATTATTTCTTTTGAAAAATTTCAATGCCATGTCTATATTTGAATTACTTTCCCCTATATTTTCTCAATTGTAATTGATTGAATTGTAGTCGTAGCTGGACTTTGCTTTTAAAGTTAAGCAACATTATCTATAAGCAGTGAATGAATAATTTGTTTTGAAAATAAGATTTGGCATGAAACTAAAAAAAAAAAAAAGCACGTCAGTTTAAGATTAAATCATAATATTGTCTATACTTGTCTAGAAATTAAGACCAAATTTCTACATGAAAAATAGAAGTTACGTTAGTGAGTTTTAAATCTTTCTACCATCAAATATTAATTGCTTGTCATAATTTGCTTACATGAAATTTAAAACATTTTATGACTACTTATTTGACTTTAATTTACTTGTTTGTATATGGTTAACTATTCCTTTTACTGTTTGGTGTTATAGTAATATGTAAACATTCTATTTTTTATTTATTTACTCTTTTTTTTTTTTTTTGTAAACTTCAGGCCAGATATGTATGTGCTGTCACCAATGATGTATTGGGTAACTCTGTCCCATGTGCAATTTTGAAAACCTCGTAAGTTAAAAATATATTCCCTTTCCTTTTCATCATTAAGGTATAACGCCTTATGAATGATGAAAAGGATTTTCTTCTGACATAGCTGCTGATAATTTTCTTATGTGATTTACTTTCTACCGAAGTCAGTTGCCAAAAGGCTCATATTAAAAATTGATGACATTTTTTTCAAGTAACTAAATGGATCCACATTAAAGTTAACAGCATTGCCAATAAATTATAAAATTGTTTTTCTCTGTGTTGTTTATTTGGCTATGGTGGGAATATGCACAGATGGTAGTAGGAAAGGTTTACTGAAAATTAATGAAAAGGTTTTAAAAAAAATTGATGAATAATAAATAAGTGAAAGATATTGAAAGAAAAACTGAAACAACAAAATAAGATATATTGTTTCATTTAGGAATTGCACAATGTTATGAGAAATGGGCCTGGATGCTGGTTAAATAGAAATTCAAACCTCCTAAATTCTGTTATATACATATTTGACAAGAGTTATCACATTTATAATAGCCTGTTACATGATTATTCAGCTGCTTATATTAAATCAGATACAATTGTTATTATATTATAATTTTTTTTCTTGCCTGATGGTCTATTAGACCAGATGATTTCTTTTGAGAAATTGTCATCTGTGCAAAAATATTGTGGCATGGCTGTGGCCTTATGCTGAATAAAAGTTGAACAAGACTTTTTTTTTATCTTTTAATGTATTTATTTTACAGTATCAAAAATGTTAAAAGTAATTTTTGAGACATATCTGTACATTATGCATAATTTGTCTTATTGAATTGGGTGTAAATTTTTATTAAAAAATGTCTTGATAGTCTTGATTAAAATAAAAAATATCTTCAATTATGTTTAGGTAAGTTAAAAAAAGACATCTTATTTGTTTATATTTATGTTGAAGTTTTGTGACTTACGCAAAATGAATATTTAGAATAGTAATTTTTCTTTTTCTTGTAATATTTTTCATTCCTATTCTTTTATTATTTACAAAAGAAATTTTATCTTTTTTGTTTATATTTCTCTCTTTATTTTTTTTATTTGATTCTTTTCTCAGCTTTTTGGCTTTTTTCTCTCTACTAAAATTCTTCACAACTTGTATTTCTCCTCTCTTTATAGTGGGAGTGTTGTGACAATGGAGTGTGTAGAAAAAATCATCAAAAAAGACATGGTAGATCCTATTAATGGTAAAAAACTCTGTGAATCAGACATCATTCTCTTACAAAGGGTAAGTAGTTTGTTTTAATGAACATAAAAGAATTTGATGCTATGAATGCCAATTGATAAAGAAACGACTTAAGAAGTCTTTTGTAATGTAATGATTAAATTTAGTGAATTTGGAGCCAAAACCATAAGAGGGCTTATCATCAGGAGATTATGTAGATATAGGATTCTACAAGCAACTGGTGGTAACAATGTACTTTAGTTGAATTATGTAATTAAAAGGTGGTCTAACATAAATCTCCTATATACTTTCCCATATCTCTGCTATCAAATGCCACCTACAATAGAAACACATGACCAATTTAAGGCAAAATGTGTCACTCAATGATCTGTCAAGTAAAGAAAGTTGGGTTTGGGGTGCCTGTAATATTAAACAATAGAAATTGTACCATTGAAGAAAAAGTGATATAAATCTAGATGGAATTATAAAAGAAAATAGAAGGAGGCTTAAAATAAAAAAGAGGCTCATCCCAAATAAGGAAATATCTTCAATATTTTGGATTGAGGTTGATAAAATTGTAAAGGGGTAAGAAAATTGAACAAAGGGAATTTTCCATAAAAGGCAAATATCGATTGATAAATAATTCCTGTAGCCAGTTGAAGTGAATTGCACCCATCATAGATGCAACAACTACTGCAGAATATTTGGGATGCTGTTAGAATGAGATATCTTGCCATAGTGCAATATACTGTCTTATTTGAAGATGGCAGTATTAAGAAGAGCCATAGAGAAAGTAAACATTTACCTTTCAACTTCAATGTTGAGTGGAGAAAAATGCTAAAAAAAAAGCAAGGAAGTAGAAGAGAAAAAAAAATACAATTTCAATGGCGGGAAAGAATAAGACTGCTTAAAGAATTACAAAAGAAAAAGCGAATGAAGACAGAAACTTTAATAGGGGGGAATTAAATGATTACACTGAAAAAAGAAAAGATAGCTGACCATTTGGGTCGATTTGACCTTTACAAATTGTTCAGGTCAAGTATTTTCTTCACCTATGTCTCCAGGTTAGTTGGTCCATCCCTATTGCACCCTAGCAAGAATATAAAAAGAAAATGTTCAGCTTTTTCTATACCCTGTGGATTGTATGTTGATTGTATTTTTGAACATTTGAAAGAACTTGGAGAAAGGAGTCTTTGTGATCATTTTTATTTTGTGTTTCTAATTCCAAGTAAACGATGATGATCATTATCATCACCACCACCCTAAATGACCAAATAGCCAAGGGAGATGTCATGCTATTCATCCAAAGAGAAGTGATAACAAAACCCCTTTGATTCTACAACTCTCTCTCTCTCCCCACAATTTATAAGTAGAATGTTTTCCAATACATTTCATCATCAAAGAACTGATTAACATCAGACAACTGGTAACTGTTTTCTCCCCCCACTATGTTAAAAAGTACAAATGGAGGAAATTTTTTTTTTTTATATTTGAGGCTGGAATTCTTTTAGACTTCAGGAAGAAGATGTATAAACCATTTAATTTAGATTTCATTCCTTTCTCATCTTAACAGCTGTAGCAAATATGAAAGTAAAGTGATGTGAAATTCAATCATTAAAACATTCACAGAAGGTAAATGGCAAATATTTGGCAGTAAAATCTTGAAGACTATCTTTGATCTCAACTAAATTCACTTGAATGTTACAGTTGAAGAAATAAGACAGTTTTATCTACTTTTTTTTTTTTCCTTTTTTTCAGGGTGCAAGTGGATTTGCTGGCTCTGGTATCAAGCTGAAGGCAACTGAAAATCGTCCAGCTATGCAAGCATAATCAGTCATCATCATCATGTTGTAAATAAAATTTTCCTTTCCTTGAAAATGGACTTTGTTATTTCATAAAATGAATTCCTTTTGCAGAGATTTCGGACATTACTTACTGGCACCACATATTGATGTTCTATTCCAGATCAAAAGTCTTGATATGAAATGTAGGTAATGTGCAGTTAAAAAAAAAAAAAATGATGTACAATATTTCCTCACCATGTTTTCTCTGGTTTTCTATACAGATAAGCTTAGTAAACATTTGTGGTAGCTGTAGTTTTGGATATATCTTACTGGCACCCAGTGTCAATATTCTAATCCAAATCAGAAACAATATTTTCTCATCATATTTTTTCCACATCAGTTTCTTTCTACACAAAGATGAGTTCAATTGACACCTATCCTGCTGTTGGATTTAAGTTTAGGATATTTTAGTACCAGATGTCAATGTTCTAGTCCAGATTAGATATCTTGTTGCAAAACACATTATCTGTAGTTAAAGAAATTGTGTAACCATATGTTTTAATCCTATTTTCTCCATTTATTTCTGCACTAAGGTCAACATAGTAAACGAAACCTCTAACACACTGTTGTAGAAAAGCTTTTGGATGTTTCTCACTAGCACCAACATCAAATTTTGAGTCTGAACTTAAGGCTTTGATAAGAAAACTGGTAGTAATTGATGCCTTGAAGTAACGCAATTTTCCTACCCATATTTCCTTTGCTTTATTTTTTCTCCTTCAGTCAAATAAGCTCTAGTAGACATCTGTTTTATTGGCAGATATCTGTGTCTTTCCTACTGACACTTGATGTGAAGGATTGTGTTTACACCAATGCCCAGACAAGAATACACAGAAGCAGGTAATCTCTACTTGAAGAAATGCCTTAAACCCTATCCACCTGCCCACATTTTGTCCACTAATACTTTCGTCTGTACTCAATATTGTTTAGTAAATATCTCACCTGCTCTAGTGGTGTTTTTTTTTTTATATTCTTTCCATTTGAAGCTTATGTATGTGTTCAAGGCTTGATGTCAAATCCCAATAAAAATACTTTCTTGAACTTCCTACCCTCGTGTTTGTCCCATTTTTCTTTTGTGCTGTAATTCTGGTATCATTAATTAGAAAACACGATTTTAAATTGGATAGAAAGAAACGATTGTATATGTTTTGCTGTTACCTCCTCAAACAATATTTGAACATAAGAACTTCAGAAAACCAAAACACGAGTCACAAAATAAACAGTCACGTTTCAAAGTCAGTTCGGTATTCCTTTGTCTCATTAAAATAAAACAGATTTTTGTTTAAATGCAAAAACAATGAGTTCAAATTTAATTCATGATTCTTCATGTTAAGTATTTTCATGTAACAATTTCAAATTTAAAACTAAAAGTTTAATCAGAATGATTGGATTTGTTTATTTTATGAAGAAGCAACTTTAGCTTTCGTTCCTTTTTATAATTCTTTCGTCTTTTAAAAAAGCGATAACGTAGATGTTTTAGAACGAGTCTTTTTGTCTTCTGCATAATCTATTTTAATTGCTAGCGTTATATTCCGAATAAGGCCAAGTAGTTTGCCTTTTAATGAGAGAAGATTCTTCAAAAAAAATGATGATGTTTCCATCGTAGAATTGTGAATTTTCGTTGGAACTGATGTTGTTAAGCTGTCTCCGGCAGTTGAAATTTCTGGTTTAGACATATCGGGAACATGTCTTGGTGTGGTTTTGTTCACATAGTTCAACGCTGGAAAAAGAAAAAGCATTTTTTGAAAAATGAAATTAACGTGTTAGTTTGTAATACATAAAATGTCAGATCAAGTAGTGAGTTTGATCCTTACTGGGTGCCCCATATTTTCAGCTTTGTGTTGCATCTAAGCTCTGCTTAGAGAATCACCATAAAGTGACAAATTGAACCCAACTAATTCAATATGGTAGCTTTCAATATGGTAGTTATTATAAAGACATTTTTTCTACTGTAAATCTCATTATTCTATAGTTGCATCTAACTTTATAGATGACTCATTTATCAAAACTACTAATTCCTTTATGATGAGTGTCCCTTCAGGATGTGGGCAATTCTGGCTCTCCAAAATTGCTGTTCTTTGTAGCACTAAGCAATTTCTGTTCCCTTAATATCACTCCCATTCCTTTTTCTTCCATACATTTACACAAACACGTTCGGAATGTTACTCGCTGCTTAACCTTTTGCCTTCAATATGTCTTTTTAGTGTCAGATTTTCAAGCGCCATTTTACTCTTCACGTGTTTCAGAAGTTTTAAATTGGTGTGGAGGTTGCTGAGATGTAGACATAATTTTTGATTACCGGACACAGTCATTGACCCAACACACCATTTACAACCAAATGCATTTTCTACTGGCCAGAGTGACAGCCTATAGCTGGTTGCCACGAATAGGCAGGAAGATTCTATTGGCCAGCGTGAGAGCCAACAGCTGACTGACACGAATGCTAACTAGCATACAAAAAAAAATCGATACCTGCATTCGTCACAAGTGAGAAAAATTTAAATCTGCCTGGCACTTTACTCCAATTGGCTCATTCGCTTGTTTAAACTCAACGTTGATTCTGATTCCGCAGAACTGGGTTAGGTGTGAAAAAGTATTTGTTAACATTCTTTTTTCATTCGGTTTTTCCAGTTATGAGTCCTTTTTTAAAGCTGATCGTCTTGTGTTCATTTTGTTTAGTTCTTTTTTCGTAACAGATTTAATGTTTAGTATAAAGTTTAGAAAAAATTTGCAGTGTAAGATAGGCAAGAAGTAAGGCATGTAGCAACATCAGCACGGCAAAGGGCACTCCTTTAAAGGCAAGGAAGGGCAAAAATATTTTAAGTCAAGTGATAGCGATTGCTGTATGAGTCGTACGATTTTTGAATCAAGCATGGGCAACGCCGGGCTATGCTGCTGGTATATATATATATATATATATATATAATTTCATACTTTAATACTTACTAGCGCCTGAGGACGGTGTTGAAGTTTAATTAAAAGCAAGGATTTTAAATGCATGTTTTCTCATGAAATAGACTGACTCATCTTTTCCTCAATTTACAATTTTGGCGTTGTGTCATACTAAGCTAAGCTTAATTCTTTTTAGCGGGGAAGAATCAGCTGTTTGTACTTTTTTCTTTTTGGTAGGGCGCCATAATGGCGGAAGTGAGAAAGCGGACAAGAATGGTTGATTTTCATTTAATAGCAGATCACTCGTATATGCAAATTACTTTCGTTTGCAAATCAGTTCAGTTTCACGTGCAAACCATGTATGGAAATCCCTTCAGTTGCGTGTGCAAATCATTTACATTATATATGCAAATTACCTACGTATACAAATCACTTCAATTACATATGCAAATCACATCAGCTGCGTGTGTAAATCACTTGCGTATGCAAATCACTCAATAGAAACGCTGGTATACATCGACGAGGCAGAAATCAGCTGGGTTACGCTAGTTTGTGACATGAAAGAGTGAAGATTGAAAACTACTGAACACCCTTACAAGTCACAACTTTTGGCAAGAGAAAGACACTAAAGCATAAAAAATTGAACCAATTTTAGATGACCTTCAAAAATTCTGAATCATATGTTTCTTGTGGCTTGTTTAAGATTTGTTGCACACAACTATGTGTATAAAAAAAGTCTTTAGTGTAATTCTTTTAAAACGTCATGGCGTTTCGTAAGAAGGAGACGCTATGGACAGAGTGACAATAATCAATTTAACAAACATTGTTAACGTGAAAACAAAATTTCAACGCCAAAGAAATGTTCGAGGCTTTGAGAGAATAAAAATCAATTCTTGTGCTGTTTTAAATGTTTCACGATGAATTAGCTGAAATTTCCAGAAATTGCGACCGTAACAATCCTAAAGCTAGACTTTTTTTTTTTCATCTCAGGAGGCGCTATGGGGATAATTCTCTTAGAACTCAAATTTCCTTGGGCAGACCGCTTTGGGCTCAGCGAGATGACAACAAAATATACTAGTGGGAAAATGTCGAAGTAACGAATGGGGAAACACAACGCAGAATTACTGGAACTTCGTAGACAGGTCCCCTTTCATATTGGGCATCATATGGGCCGATAGACAGAGAGACATCGTTGGCCATAGAAGCAGCAGAAGTGATTGAGCAAGAAGAAAGGTGAGCCATGGTGGAGGTAACATTTTTCTGGACACAAATCGAATATTGATCATCCCTGACTGGGTCACTTTTGTGGGGGTTTCTGATTGTTGAACAAAAAAAAAAACAAAAAAAACGAAATACCAACTGAACCAGCAAACATCATTACGTGTCCAGTTGTAACATAAGTTGATTGATTTTTTTTTGTTTTTTTTTTTAAGGCTTCTAAACCCTTTGTAGCTTATTTAAAACCGAGACATATCGCGGATTGTAGGCGATTGCTTACGGTATCCGGTGTTCCCAAGTGGCCCACCATCTAAGTACTGATCGTGCTCGACGTTGCTTAACCGGTGATCGAACGAGAACCTGTGTTTTTTAAGCGTAATTAGGCAACACAAGTTGATGCACGTGAAAAGGAGCTAAGATCTCAGATTGGAATTCCAGGCACGTCGATTACCTTTTCCTGTAGTAGTTAAGTCAAATCTTTCAGTAACATTATATTTAAAAGAAAGAAAATAAAACGTTTATGAAAATACAACGGAAGTCTTGACTAATACTCACATTTGGTTGTATTTCCGGTAGAAAGAGGCGGGCATCTAGACTCTGCTTTGTGTCCCTGCAGATCTGTAAACATACTCAATGTAATCAATCATATCAGAAATATTCTCATAATGGTAAGGCCTTAAATAGTCGTTGCCCTACAAGGAAACATTTCGCATTCAGCCACTGCTACTTTCGATTGAAATTTATAAAATCTTTCTATTAAAACGAATATTCAGGAAAATAGGTTTCTCAAGTCCATTAACTGTTATTGCTCTTTTCAATATTGATGAAGAGGATTCCTTCCTAACCTTTTGTCTGAAGTAGTGTTTAATGTCAACATTTGGATTACGTCATTGTTTTCTCCTCGGGTTACATGTGTTTGTCCATTTAAATTGTTGTTACTGTTGAAAGTCCTCTGTAGAGAAGACAACAGAAAAATAACTGTTTTTCACAAAAAGTTACGATAATTCAAATTTGAAAAATAGTACAAAGCTGCAGAAAAGGAACTTTATAAATTAATGAACATTGAGAGGTTAATATTTATTGCACTTTCTGTCTATTGCTTTACATATGTGGGGATATGACAAAAGATTTTAAGTGCCTACATTCTACGGAAATCTAAAATCACTTTTTCTTTATTTTCAGTTTACAAACAGTTAACACAAACATAACACCAAATATATTTCAGTGAGCCAAGTTCAAATTCTAGTCTAGTCTGTTGCTTTTATTTTACACTAATACCCATGGAAAAAGTGTGAATATACCTCTTACCTCACCCAAGTCATGGGTTAAATAATCTTGAATGGCAACCATACTAGAAGGATAACTTTATATTCAAAACCATTAGCAATATCCTTATATAGAAGCATTTGGCATTCATTGAACAGTCAGTTCAATTTAATAAAATCTTTCTATTAAAAGAAAATAGGTTTCTCAAGTCCATTAACTGTTATTGCTCTTTCCAATATTGATGAAGAGGATTCCTTCCTAACCTTTTGTCTGAAGTAGTGTTGAATGTCAACATTTTGATTACGTCATTATTTTCTCTTCGAGTTACATATGCTATCCATTTTAGTTGTTGAAAGTTCTCAAGTGATGTGGTTTCTGTTATTTGGTAGAGTTATTTGTTTGTGATTCTGTAACGCCAATCCACGCGGTTCGAAAAAGAAGTGTTCACTAAGGCCTATAGGCCTTATTCACTCGAAGCCATGTTTAACCATTGATCTAAGAAAGCGGTTGTATACAACTGATACTTTAGATATTTCTAAACGGGCTTGGCGTCATGCATGGTATCTATATGAAAGTCTTGATATGACGAGACTATTTAAGAAAATGACTTGAGTTTTTAGGTCAAAGTTTTGGTTGTGTAGCAACTTGCGGTGTTGGGTGAAACTAACCCTAGCACAGTCTATGTTTAATTTCTTTATCACATATATGTACTTCATTTGTAATGACAAGGATTTAAACACTTTCAAAATTAATGCAAACTTTTAAAAAGATATTAATTCAATACGTGGGAAATTTTTATATTTATATAAAGAACATCATAGCATACAAAAAAAAAAAATGAAAGAAAGAGAAAATAGCACGAACAAAAAGATAAAAACATTTATAGGATTACTTTAGTGTGTGTGTGTGTGTGTGTGTGTGTGTGAGAGAGAGAGAGAGAGAGAGAGCTAGAGAGAGCTATGTGGTTTGGGTGAAACTAAGTAGTCGGGTGCTCGGGTAATGTCTCTCCAGAGGATGACTGAATAACATCTTGCACGTAATACATCCTATATAAATTAGAGAACGAAAAGAAAAAGAGAGAGTGAGAGAAGTTTATGTTCCTTCCTTTCATAGTCCTGAATAGAACGCTACTTGGCAGAGAAAGTGGCAAATCCCAAACATTCTTCATGAATACTTAAGAAATTATTGTTACTTACTCTTCCATACTTGAGTGATTATCAGTTGGGAACCTGGAGCAACGCTGGCGCTAATGAGGAGGAGATTCTGAAAGAAAAATATCGACTTTTTAATGTTTTGCAAGATACAAGAAAAAATAAAGAACTATTAAAAAAAGTGTACAATATAAAAAGACAAGAAAAGATTCACAGAAGAAAACAAACAGAGAAAATAAAAAAGGTGTCTTTAGACCATCCCAATGGCCTATAATAATAATAATAATAATTAAACTATCCCAAAGTAAAAGAATAAGAATTAGAAAACTTTAGGCCAGTGTTTCTCTTTTTTAATTCAAGGTGCATTTCTAGTATAAATAAAACTCTCGGGCGCACTTTAAATTTTAAAAAGGAAAAATTAGTCATGAAATTTGAAAATCGGAAAATAACAAAGATGTCTTCTAAAATAAACATTTATTTTTAAAAGATTACATTGTATATTTAAACAGTGCAGTTTTCATTTACAGGGATTTATGAAGAATCTTCTATTTCTTTTTAGAGACACCTACACCCTTGTGCAAATTAATTGAATCAGAATGAATAATTCCGTTATTATTTACTGTTTTTCCTATTTTTCCAATGAAGCATGACCCAGCGCACATGTTAGTACTTCGTATGTTAATTCCACGAAGTTGCAGATTGACTGCAAATTCTCGATTGAATTTAAATCAGGAGAATTTCCAGGCCAGCCTAGTACTTTGATTTGCGCACTGGTAAGGCTTGCCAGTGTGTTTGTGTAGCGTTACAATTTTCGTACGCTTCCTTGTAGTAACGTCCATCGCAAACAATGGCCATAGGACAACTAATCAACAGTCGAGACAGTAGTGTCTGGGCGTGATAAAAATCGGAAGCAATCACAGATGACGCAATATTTTTCAAGGCCGAACAAATTTCAGTATACATCCCGAAAATAGATACATATTAATGCACACCACTGCAAATGACCTAATTTGAGGAAAAAATAGAAATCAATTACAGCCTGTCACTCCAGTGGATCTAGAACTAACCGTATGGTAAAAGAAAAAAAAAAGATGTTGTTTCAATTAATTTGCACAAGGGCGTATAATGACTGATTTAAATCCGTTGAGGAAGGCAAAAGCAAAAGTATTATCGATTCATTCTTAAAGAGTAAAGAATTTAGTATTTTGTTTAAAATATCAAATGACAAAGACTTGGAAGCCATGTGCTTGGTCGTCTCAAGCTTTTTAAAAATAAAGAATTTTTTTAGATATAAAAATAATTAATAACTCTTCTGTTAACTTGTGGCGTCCATGGTTTTACCTTTCAGGGCGAATTTGTGTGCCTTGGGCGCACGGCTTGGGAAACACGGCTTTAGACCAATGTAACGTGCAAGGGGAAGATTTTTAGACCATCCCAAAGTGTAAGAAGCAAACCGCTTTTAAAACGGAACCGTACATAAATTTTCTTACCGATACTCGCATGGGGGCCGCACGACCCACTCTCTTTTGATCTCCTGGTTGAATTTGACAAGTCCATTCTGGTTTATAGCTTTTTTCAGACGTAACATTCAATGAATATGGTCCTGGTCCCGTTACATAATATTCAAATGTAATCATTTTGGGATTAACAGGAAACCAGAGAAATGCCCATCTAAGTTGGGCGTAGCAGTTATTGGCACCATCTAAAACAACGTATCCTGGGAATCCAAAGAAAAATAAAAGAAATTTATTGTAGAATTACTGGTTAATCGATCAAATTTTGAAAAACATTCAAGAAAAATATGTTTTGGGGCGATTTTTTTTTTTTTTGTGTATTTCTCTTAGTATGTGTGTGTGTGTGTGTGTGTTAGACGATAAGACGCCTGAAAACAATAGGGAGTAAAGACCCCACTTGAAAACACCCCCTACACATACCACAAAATTTGAACACGTGATATTTACTCGACCAATGAAAACGAACAGTATAAAATTCGATATACCGAAACATTTTCCACATGTCCCACAAAAAAAAAACTCTGCTGAAGTTGTAATAATGCCACCGAAATATGTCAAATTTATAAACATTTTATTTGTTCCTTTCTGTTAGATTATACTGTATTTTTACCCTATTCACACACACACACACACACACGTATATATATCTATCTATCTATCTATCTATCTATCTATCTATCTATCTATCTATATATATATATATATATATATATACAAAAGAAACGATTCAAAGATTGACTGAAAAAATCCTTTGCTGCCTGTCAAATCAACCATTGCCAATTTTCAACCCTAGCTGAGAACCGTGACGCATGGCGTCTCACCACCAACGATGTTATCTGTTTCTTTGAAAATACCTGCAAGGCCGCTCTCAGGGACAAGAGGCAGAGGAGGAAGTACTGCAATGCTATGCCATCGACCTTAGGCCGGACTTTTAGCTTCAACTACTGCGACCGCATTGAACTCATCAGTCACAAACTTGCCTGCAAGCGACGTGTGCAGAGTCCCTCTTGATCTTCGTTTTGCGAAGCCATGATATATATATATATATAGGTCTGATGAATTGGATCGTATTTACGATCGTATTTACGTAATTACGATCGTATTTACGATTCCAATGGAATAAATTATGGATTCCAATGGAATAAATCATGGAATATTAGTGTTTAAGCCTTTTTATTATATCCTTACTCTGTCCTGGACATTGAGTTCTACCTGGATTCTATCCTCTCGGAATTTTTTATTAAAAAAATATACATATATGTGTATGCACCTATGTGTATATATATCTATATATTTTGCATATGTATGTGTATATTTACCACTAATATTATCTATATATATATATATATATATATATATATATATATGAAGAAATATAGTTTAAGGTATGCTATATTTATGAGATAAAGTGCTCAATATCAGACATAGAGCGTATGTAAATATAAAAGTGAACACTGAAGTCAACATTCAAGGGCGACAGACTGTTTCATGCTAAACACAATCGTCAGGCCGCCTGGTGATTGCGTTTAGCATGAAATAGTCTGTCGCCTCTGAGTGTTGACTTCAATGTTCACTTTACTTATATTAAATTCTCCTTTGCAAAGCTCCATTATTTTTTTAAAAATATTTAAGAATCTATTAGGAACTAGCAGTAGAGCCCGGCGTTGCCCGGGGATGTAACAGTAAGAGATAGATCAAGTATCGACCATCATAAAGACTGAAAAATAAAATTGACAAAGATTACTGTTTAAGTTTGATGGATACGCATGTCTTAATTAGTTTTTTTTTTTTTTTTTTTTGAATTGGTCAAACCCAAACTCAAACAATTACATTGTTTTCAATCGTTATGAGTCTACCGAATTTTATTATAAACAATTGTCTTGTAAAAATAAAGAAAAAAGTGTGCAAGACAATAAGAAACACTACCTGCCAAAAAAAGTGAAGTTTTGTTGAAATCGGTTGAAAAATGTACGAAATCCGATCCCATATATAAACGAACACACACACACACACACACACACACACACACACACACACACACACACACACACAAACTGGTTTTTATAATAATACTCGATAACTTGATATTATTAAGTATAACTCGATATGAGTTGTCCCCCTTTCCTTAATGCCTCTTAATCGTGTTTTCAGATTGATTTCGTGCAAAGACAATTGTGTTTTTCCAATTTTTGGCGCTGTCAGAACCACCGCAAGGTAATTTTACGTAGTCCTGTGAAGTGTTGTTGAAATCGATTGAAAAATGTAGGAAATCCGATCCAATAGATAAACGCACACACACACACACACACACACACACACACACACACACACACACACACACAGACACACACACAATCTGCGTTTTATAATAAGTAACATTAAGACAACTTTAGGTCGTAGTAATCTTAAATGAAATTTTTTTGTGCATATCCTAAATTTGATAAAAGAACTATTTTCGGTAGGATTAAAAGTTTTGATCTTCTGCATGTCAGGCAATTATCACTAATCTACTGTAGCTTACTACCCTATCATTGCCAAATATTTCTGGACTATTGATGATTGTAGAACGAGGATATAACGAAAACATAAGAAAGGCGTGCAGGAATGAAAAGAGCAATGGGCAAAGACGAGATAATAAATTCGAAATCTGCTTGAGTCAATATGGATAAACGGGATTTAAATGAACACACTCCTTTTGGGGGGAGGAGGGGATATTTCGGCGAGGCAATCAGCAATTAAGAAATTAGAACCAACAGAGTTTGCATTTATTGACTTTGACTTAAAATGCTTTACAGCAAATTTCAGCATTAAATCTGTATCTGTGCTTATAAAATCGAAGCAAAAAAGGAGTTATCGTTTGTTAGAATTAATTTATCTCTCTCTCTCTCTCTCTCTCTCTCTCTATATATATATATATATATATATATATATATATATATATATATATATATTACTTTGAACCTTATTTTTAATGGATACTCATATTTGAGTAGACGATTCGTTTATATTTTTTTAACTAAATTTGATTTCGTCTACCGGCCTAAACATTTGAGAAATCTTATTAAGATACTCATTGATAACACTAGCAAATGGTCCAATGTCGGCAGAAAAGACCTAATAACAAACATCTAAATTCCAACTATCGGATACATAATTAGAAGCCCTCAGTTTGGGCCAGAAATTTACCACTGGAATACCGAAATATGACAACACAGATTACATAATTAAAATCCATCACCACAATGACTCCAATTTTACCAAAGGCTATATCCAAGGCTTAATCACAGTTACACACACACACAAAAAAAAAAACAAAACAACAAAAAAAACAAAAACAAAACGAACGAAAGATACATAAAAGCCCTGAAAGAATCTGTTTCTGATAAGGGCGGGAGAATTATAATCATAGATAAACACATTTACCAACAGAAAATGAGAGGACTCATTAACGATGACAACATTTATGAAAAAGTAAATGAAAACAAAGCTATAAAAAGAAACAACATTTCACAGGCGACATCAAAAAGCTGCTAAAAAATGAAGACCCACTTGTGGATAAAACTTATTGAATACCATCCCAAAACACCCACATTATACGGATTACCAAAAGCACATAAACCGAACATACCAATGAAACCTATCATATGAGAGATAGGCAGCGCCCTACATCAACTAGCCCGCAAACTAAGCAGAGTTTTAACCTCAACCCCCGACACTATTAGTCCATAACATATATATATATATATATATATATATATATATATATATATATATATATATATATATATATATATATATATATATATATATATACACAATAGCGTACAGTGGTAATAAAACAACGCTCGTTATACTATAACGGCTAAAAGTGTGTGTGTGTGTGTGTGTGTATACAGTCATTTTTTAGATTCGGATGTACATGGATAACGAACATAGATGAGAAATCGGCAGGGCCGAGTTCAAATCTCAGTCCAATCCTTTGTATTCACTTACGCGCAGATACCCTGAAGAAAGGTATCCATTCTCTTCCACGCAGTGATTAGTAAGACTTGGAAAAATTATTATCCCCAAAAGAATTGATAATGCAATATTCACTCGCCAAAAAAAAAAAAAAAAAAAAAATTGTTCTTAAAATCCAAAGTATATTTCGGTTTTAAATAACTTACAAAGTGTTGATAAACCGTAAAAAACTAATCGATCAGTCATAACATTTCCTCGAGTCTCCGAACAATAGTGACAAAAATACTTTGGAGAAATGATTTTTGCGCAGTTTTATCATTCGAAAACGCTGTGGAGACATTTTTTATCTAATGGTGGAAACATTTTTATCTATCTGGAAATAATATAATCATAATATTTAGTATTGGAGAAGTTATCGCTAACATTTTTTGTCGAGATTTACAAACTTTACGTTTCGTTCAATTTTGCAAACCAATCGATGAAATCTGAATAAACTGATTTGTTTGGAAAAATACTTTGATAAAAACCCTACTTTGCGGTTTAATAATTTCTTTAATTTAATTTAATTTTTAGAACTTCATGGTAAACAATAATTTTTAAGAAAATTTCCTTTTTCCTTTTTAAGAGCGAGTAATAAATTCTCAGAATTTCTTACTCTTGAGCATGCAACATACAACTGGCCATGCGTAAATATTTCTTTCTGGAGCCAAATTCTCACTTTTAGCTCTCGCAAACGCACGGCGAACTGGAAACTGGATTCTTGTATATAGAAATTTAAGGAAAAGATATGCAAAAAACAATATTGCAATACTGCAAATATTGCAATATTGCAAATACTTATTTAATAAAATTAAAATATTTGTTATTTTAATCATTGTTTTTAAAATAGTGGGAACAAATCATTCCAAGATTTTATAGGCTAGTTTACATTTTGTGGTTGATGTAAACTCCCGGCTGGGTGACGGCCTCTACACGCTGGGCGTTCTCGTTGTGTTTTTTTACGAGGTGGTGTTGCCAGCCCTACACACAATCAGATTTGTGTTCAAGGTTGTCCTTTTCCTAGACTGGTTGCCAACCAAAGCTACAGAACCTAGTCTGTCCGGCTATGGATTCCTACTTTTCCAAAGATATCTGTGCGAAAGTGAATGCATTTGCTTCGGTTGGAATTTGAACTCGACACGCCAATTCTACTTTCGGCGATGATAACCGCTGCACTATGGGCACATGTTTTAAAACAACAGTAATTCGTTCATTTTTAAAATTAAATAAATTTTCAAATTGTTCATTACCTTGCTTTCCTTGATATTGTCCGTCGTTTAATTTCCAGTTGCAAGTATCGGTCAGGTTTTTAGGATACCACATACACCAGCGACCGTTAAAATCACAAGAGTACCTGTCTTCATAACCTTTAAATAAAAAGAAATTGAATTAAATTCATTACTAAACAAGAATCAACAGTAATTCATTTAAAGATGCAACTGAAGTGAAAAGAAAATTAGGTTTGCCTTTTTTTTTTCTCTGAAAAATATTTAACTGTTTTTGATCAATGATCTTAATGGGTCTTATGATTTCTAATGAATAATTATCAATATTATTGTGACTTTTATAGTCACCTTAATTATTTCAATCCTCTCGGTCGGTCGTCTCTCTGACACTCTTCAGGTGAATAATTTGAAATGAACACTTCTTTCATTCTCCTTCCTCACCGATCAAACAACAAGGATTACTGTTATGAAGTAGGATTTCATCAGTCCAGCGGCAGTCGTTCATCTCGTATACCGAGAGCTGCTCTACCCTTATTGCTTGGGCATTTATATAGTCTATGCTTTAGCCATGATAATTAGGCAGACATTTACATATCACTACAATTACTTTATATAGTTCCATATAAGACCCCCCACCCTTTTCCCTAAATAAAAAATCTAAGAAATCTGAAAAATATTATTTACTAAGTTGAGAAATCAGGTGGGCTAATATTAATTTACATGCCGTATACTAGCAATACATAGTCACAATTAGAGTCACAGGGCATCACATTTACTGCAGCCATAGTAGCAGTGGTGTGTCTAGGAAAAGATAGCCTCTTATAGTTCATTGCTTTTCAGGAGGGTTCTGAATTCAGGGTTTTCCTTCTCCTATATTAGTTGCCATCTCAAAGCAAAAAAACAAAAAAAAAAACAAGTCTGCCTTACTATTTAAGCCATAACTGGAGGAAGATAAATTAATGCCTTTGCCAAGGGCATTAGTGAGAATTGAACGAAACTGAATCGACCAGAACTTGAACTCAGTTAGCCAATTTCACTTTCGTCGCTGATAACTCTTACTTTATCCATACCTTCTACCAATACGTGTAAGGAGCGTTAATCTATACTATTGCGTTATTATTAGAATGAGGGAATGCTGTATGCCATTAAACACGGTAGTTTGTGACGAGTAAATTAACAAAATAAATACATAAATATGAAATGAAATAAAAAGTTGAAGGTTGCTGATCGCCATTAAACAAGCTGCTAATTTTTGTCCTAGTATTATGGGATGGAATTACTAAACAAATATGCAAACTATTTAATCCATAAGGGGAGATATAATTATATCTAATATTTATTTACTAGCTGCTTACGTTAACTTCTACTAAATATATCTAGATACTTGACAAAATCCAAAGAAGGGCATGCAATATAATCGGCCATGCCCTGGCATCTCGACTTCAATCACTTTTCCGCTGCTTTGATGCGACTTCCCTCTGTCTTTTCTATAAATATTTTCATGGCAATTGTTCTGATGAGCTTTCCCTATTTGTGCTTCGAGTACATGAATTTAAATGCACGACTAGATTGGCAACTAGGTCTCACCGTTTTATTGTGGAGCTAGACATATGCAACCGTATGTTTTATACTGATAGTTTCCTTTCTTGCACTTCTCGCCAGTGGAATTCTCTTCAGGCTTCTTGCTTATCTACAACCAACAATCTTCCAATCACCATCTTCTGTCTCCCTGAAACCTCTTCTTTTATTGTCCTTTCTCTTCACTAAAGTCTTTTCATTCTCTTTGACTCTCAGCAACTCCTTACGTCTTAGTGGCATTATCGCCCTGCTTGGGGTGAAATGATTAAAAAAAACGTTTCCAAATGGCTAAGTATTAATGTTTCTAAAGCATTGGTCACTTAAGTGCTACTGAATATGTACTTCAGTGATTCACTCAGATCCAATGGTTCGTCAAAACATTCTTCTCGTTAGACTTACGTTAATATTTATCGCAATAAGATATAATACAATAGAATGAAACGGAAATTTAAATGTCTTTCATCAAAAGATCCTATGATGTCATTTCTTTTTCTTTCAATGCTCGTTGATTATGAAACCCTTTGATATTGTAAGGAGGCTTTATAAAACAAAAATACCCAAACTTTCATTTATTCGAGGGATTATTTCTATAGGGATACTTTTTATCGCTTTAAACATTTTTTTCAGTGGAAACTGGGAGGGACATATTTTCTTTAATAAGATTTCTCGAATATTCAGGCCGATAGATGAAAATAAATATACTGTTTAAAATATGGGTATCTACTAAAAATAATGTGATAAAAATCTGTCGGATTAATCAATAAATAATCCATTACTCCTTTCGAAACAGTGATTATTTCTATAATGATTATTTCTATAATGAAACTGTAATGATACAACAAATTTTGGTGGTAATAAAAATAAATAAACAATATTCGTCGTTGTATTGTTGACTTTACGTTGCATTCAATAAATTTAAATAAACCTTTGCCTTTTCTTATTGTTAACCAAATTGATAACTACTTTATTTTTAACCTTTTAGATTGAGTCATTTTCTAATCTAATAAACTAAAAAAAAATGCCGATAGGGTAAAATTTACATGATTAAATACTGAATTATTGAATAGGGTATTAAATGTATATAAAGTGATTTCTAATGATTTTACTATATGAATACATTGAAAATAACGAAGAACGGGATTCTTAGTGGCCAAGAATTAAGGCAAGGATGTAGTACTATTCTATAAGTAATGCATGTGTGTATTACTGACAGAATATGGCTATTATATATGTATAAGATAAATGAATTTCTAATGTTTCATTATAGGAATGCATTGAAAATCAGGAAGAAATACATTGCCAGTAGTCAAGAATGAAAGCAAGCATTACTGATATAGGATCCTTCATGAGATCGCTAAAAAAGAGCGCAGCATGATGAAAAAGATGCCAAACTTGACGAAAACAAAATTTTATCGTCTAAAATAAATGTTTATGCTATTATTAAGAGGAAAGATCAAAGTATTTTGGGGGTATTTTTTACATTTTTTAATCGTTCCTAGCACGTCCAAAATTTTCGTTAAAAATCTTGTTTTTTTTTGTCAGCAGAATTGACAGATAATCAATCATGTCAACTAATTTTCCATTTTATAAAAAAATTAAAATCTTAGTTTGAAAATTTTTTCAAAACTTATTTTAAGACAATCAGAAATTATAATGTTTATTTAAAATATTTTTAAACAAGCATTATTTAGTTTCTGGTCCGAAAAGGTGTAGTTTGAAAATAAAACAAAGCAGGTCATAATATTTCGCGTCACTTGACAGGTGGCGAAAGACATTTTCTTGACGTATTGATAGCTTACGTGAGGGTAATCTATTCTACGGAAGGAGAGAAGTGAAATTATTTAGATTTAAGTGAACAAATTATTTACCTCGTTATTTTTAAGGAAAACTTTCTATTTTTTTTTGTACTTAGCGTTCACCTTTACGTTTACGATGCTTTATAGAAAATATATTATGAAGAAATTAAAATAAGACTGTTGAGAGTGAGATTAAATTTAATAAGAAAGGTATCTAATTAATTTATAGGTACCTTTCTTATTAAATTTTATTAGATGTGTACATAAGATACAAATTTAAATTTCATGAGATGATACTGATACTTGTAGGTACCCTTCTCAGTTGAAATTGAAAAATCAAATTAACTTCTCCACACGTGTTTCGCAAAAATTAATCTATCTCAAAAGGACATTTACGAAACTGAATGCGGCTTTTAACTATTTTTTATAATATTTTAACAACTTAAATGTAAAAATCTATTATAATTAAAGAAATAACAAATAATTGTATTAAAAATTCAGTATTTAAATTAAATACTAGACAGAAACTCAATTCACGTGACTTTTTTTTTCTATTGCACGCATGATACTTCCGGTCTTCCGTAGATTTGATTTGCAGTTATATTATTGACATAAATTATATATTTTTTTTATATACTGGTGTTCGTTAGTTTGTAAGAAGCTTTGGAAATTATAATCTGTAAATATATATCTACTAACAACATTCGTTAAATTCTACAAACTTTTCCCTAATTTTAGAAGAATTAACAACATTTAATGTAAAAATAATAAAATATTTCAGAAATAACAAATAATTGTCTTAAAAATTCATTTTTCATCAAAATATCTTTTTGCTTTCAGACAATATTGTCCATGTTCATTAAAATAAATAAAAGCAATTAAAAGCTTTTGAAATGAAATAATATTTTTGTTTTATTGAGTTTTGTATGTTACAATTCAGAGATGATTTTCAGGTAGAGGTGGTCCAACTAAAAAAAAAAAAAAAAAAAAAATGATTTGGATTCTGCAAAGTCTTGTACTTTTAACTAATATAATCACTAATCTGCCCAAAATTTAAATTATAGAATTTTCGTACAATTAGTTGGGGGTGGGGTGGTAATACATATGAAAAAAATATTTTTTACATGACTTTAAAAAAGGAAAACATATTTATAATAAGTTCCATCATTTGTGAATAGTTTCTGAAAGTTTCATTAAAATCCGACAATTATTTTTATTTTTGCAAGATTTTCCAAATTAATGTCTGTCATACAAAAAAAAGAAAAAGAAAAAAGAAACATGCTAAATATTTATATTATTTTACTAATTCCGGTGATACAAAGAGAAACAAGGCTTTTTTGATCAAAATTTAGAATTTTCTAAAAAGAAAGAAAATTTTTTTAAAAATAATTAAAAATACTTTCATCTTTCCTCTTAATAATAACATAAACATTTAGACGCTAAAATTTTGTTTTCGTCAAGTTTGGCATCTTTTTCATCATGCTATGCTCTGTTTTTAGCGATCTCATGAAGGGTCCTATAAGGCGACCTTATACGGGTACCTCCAAAGAAACGCGATGCCTAAGTTTAAAATGAATTTTTAAAAATGAAAAATCTTTCTTGAAGCTTTAATTTTAGTTTTAATTTCAAGCTAATAGATTAAATTTAATATTTTCAATAAGCAAAATACTTTTCTGTGTTTCAAAACTAATTTAAATTGATTGGAAGGAGTTTTTGTTTTGAAATCACGACATTTTAAGCCATCTGTCAACACAATGTAATTCCCTTTATTAAAAAAAATCTTTCAAAAATAAAATATATTTAACTTTATTTAAGGAATATTAGCTGATTTAAAGGTTAACTAATCTAATCTGAAACAAATAGCACTCTTTTTAGCTTAAATTATCTCATAAATGCCTTTTTTAACATAGTGGTAGATATTTAAGGTGTTGGCAGATTGACAGCTTGACTAACAATCGGAAGTTTATTTAATTTTTTTCTACGGGGTGGGGGGGCATATCTGTAATAATTACTTGAGTTATATAACGGGATCGTTTTTTTTAATATAATTTTTAACTACCCAGTAATCTTAAAAATGTAGTAAAATATTCTCCGTCACCTAAGGTCTTATTGAACTTTAGGTACTTTGGCTTTCAATTTATTATAGTTATCGCTCTTATTTTCTGATAATGTCCTGTATGGACTTCCGTATTTACAAAAATCGCTACGTTTATACAAACAAATAAAATTCAAAATTCTTTTTAAAATATTCTAGTAAGCTTTTCCATTTATGATTAGTAAAACTTTATTAATTATTTTAATTAAAATTAAAACAATTCTCTAAAAAATCATTATTCATCAAAAAATGTATTCCCCTGAGGCAATAGTGTTCATAATATATCATATTCATGAAAGCAATTAAAACATTTTCTAATTATATAATGTCTTAGCTTTATTACATTTTTTTATTTTACGATTCAAAGCAGATTTTCTTTTACTGGGGATCCTATTTTACAAAAAAGAAAATGACGATTTAAATTCTCCAAAGAGTCCTGCTAATTAAACGGTACAGAAATTAATTTCTAGAAATTTCATAAAATTAAATTGGCGTGGGGGTAACATGTAAAAAGATTTTCTAAAAAAGAAACATTCTAAAATAATTTCATTCATTTATGAATATACCCTGAAAGGTTCATTAAAATCTGAAATTATTTGATTTTTCAAAGAATTTACAAATCAGTTTGTCTCTCACCACGAAAAAGACGCTAAAATTTTCTATACTAATATTTGGCCCCTCCGTTGACGTAAGAAAAACAAGATTTTTAACCAAAATTTCGAATCTTTTAAAAAGGATAAAAAATATAAATGAATAATCAAAAATTCTTTTGGTTTTTCTTCTTAATAATAACGTAAAAATTTTGATGATAAAACTGTTTTTATTACGCTTGGGTCATTTTTTTTTTTAACATGGTATTCTTATTTTTAACAAATCTGTGTAGGTACCTACATGAATAATGTAAATACATTGCAAATCATGAATAATGGGATTGTGAGTGGCCCGGAATGAAGGCAAGAATTACTGATAGTACAGGGCTATTATAATGTATAATGGAAATGATCTTATTATAAGAATATATTAAAAATCAGGAATAGAAGTGATTGTCAGCAGTCTGGATTTGATGTAAGTATTACTAGCAGAATAAGTTTATTTAATATATTATGTAAATGCATTGTTAAAGTTTTTACTATCGGAATGCATTGGAAATCCGGAAATAAAGTGGTTCGTGACATATCTTTCAAATTGTGAAAAAAGAATTATGAAAACTGCACATGTACATATATACACATATATGAGATAACGATATATATTTTTCATATATCAAAAACAATATTGGGGAAAAATGCTTGACAAAGTGGAAAAAAAGTTTTCTTGTGACGCGTTTCGTCCTTTAGGATTTTATCGGACTAAATTTGTTGGTGCCACTACGCATGCGTACGAACGAGGGATGCTGGGAATTTTAAATTTCATTTTTTTTTTTAATCTACCCGATTTAATTTATATTCTGATATTTTCTTTCCATCCCTTTTGTTAGTAGATATCCCACACTGTGATAATAGATGTTATACCAGGAATGGTGAAATGTGAAGAGCAAGGGCGTAAATTTACCGTAGATGATCTTGACGATCAAAGCATTCGCTAAACAATTTTATCTACATCTACTGTATCAAGTGTATTCCTGATTACTCTTTCCTCTTCCCGTTCATTATTAATGTTTCTGTTCCTAATTCTTCTACACTCTGTAATCCCCCACCGTGTCTTAGTGGCTTTACAGTCTTACATGGGGTGATACTGATTTAAAATATATATATATAAGAACCTATGAAAGAATTTAAAAAAAACAACAACAGATCTTCTGTCTTAATTTATTGGATTCAAAAGCAAATGCTTTCTTGCAACGTTTTCGAAGCAAAATGTGTCTCATCTTGTTTCTAGAATCGTAGACAAGCAATATGTGCACCATTCTTTTCCGTCTTCTTATTTCTAAAACAAAAAGCGCGAATGGCTACATAATCTATATCTATAATTCTCAAAATGTGTGTGTGTGTGTGTGTGTGTGTCAGATGTTGTTTATGCGTTTCCACAGTTTCCATCCGATTTCGATGAATTTCTTTTTGTTTGATAAATGATTCTTCAGTGCCGGTTTGAGTCCAAATTGGATGGAAAAAATTACAAACCTTGAAGGTGAAAAATCAAAAAAACCGATTTTTTACACTTTGCGCAAAATTCAAAGGCAAAATTTAATGTCTGTAAAAAAACAGTGTACAATCAATTAAGTTAGTTGAAATCTAATGCAAAAGATTATTAGAATTATAAAAGAAAATAATATTATAAATAAAAATTATCGTATATTATTATTATGACGGTCCATGGAAGAAGTTCCTTCCTTGCAAGATTGAGAACGCAAAAACGGTCCTTTTCAACCCCTCTCCTCATTTCAAATTGTTATCCCCACCCTCCATTTGAGGATGTGCATCAGTTACACCCAAATGTTGTTAATAATATTGATTTTCGGGTGTGGCTGACTTTAAGCTTAAATTCCTCGAACTGAACGGTAAAAATTCCCAATAATGAAACACCCGGTCGTAGACGGGTTATACTGCTAGTTCTATATAATCAGAATTTCTTAGTAGAAAAAAAAAATGAAGCCTTACCATTGCATAAAACTGCAAAGATGGAAACCATCATAAGAAATCGAAGCCACATAATATCATCCATTGATTCTGACAACACGATTCTGGCGGAAAAGATAGATTCTGCTGTGAAGAAGTTATTAGAAGCAAGACAAGAGTTTATTGTTTTTTTCCTGTATTTATACACGATTTTTGATATGATCAGATAAAATTACTTTGATATTGTTATCGCCAATTCCATCACTCGAAAATCATTGAAGAGGTGGCTGATTTTTAAAGGGTATTTGACAAACAGGAAATAGATCATTGAACACTCGTTGAAGAAGTTGATTCCAGTGAAGATAACCAATGCAGAGTTATTGTTTTTTATTTGTTGGGCCAGTGGAAATTCCACGGTGCAGGATTGCAAGTTAGGACAAAGAGCCTTGCAAGTTAGGACAAAGAGAAATTGCCATACTTGGCTTGACACAGTTATTCGTCGAAATATCAACACGAATTTGAGCGTACATACACGCATCTACATACACACATAGCATTGTTCTACAGCAAATGCAAATTAATATTATGCATATTTTTAAACAGTACCTCTTCAGGATGTTGGCGATAATGGCTCTCCACAACTTTTCTTTAATTTATGTAAATCTTATTTTGGGGGAAGCAGTGAAATGATTTCTCATTGCCGTCCCTGCGGTTTTCAAATTAACGTACTTTTTCTTCTGGACTGATAGCCCTACTAAGCCTACAGAGCACAGTCAACCCTACTATTCTACCAATGGCTGGGCGTGATAGAATAAATAGCTTCAAACTTTTCACAACGATACTGGTGAAAAAAGAACACAAACTACCTTGGCATGAATTATCAGTCATTTTTATTTATACGATTTTTTTTCTACAGAAGTGCATTTATATATCCATATATATAAAGCACCACGTGGCGCTTCTATGTGGTGTAATGGTTAACAAGCTTGTCTCGTTAGCTCTATTACCACTGACTAGTGAGTTCAAAGTACGAGTAATGGATAGCGGCTCGGATTGAGGAATCGGAGAGCCAAGTTCGAATTCCAGTCGAATCCATTACATTCACTTACGTGCTAATACCTTTGAGAAAGGTATGAATCCTCTTCTTCTCCCCCCAGCTATGGGCAAATCGCAGGACAGACCAGGTTCTATAGCCTTGGATGGCAACTGGTCTACCGCAGAAAGAAATGGCAACCTAATTCAGGAAAAAAAATCTGCATCGAAAGATGCATGATCACCTAAGCTTGTATCACGCATGGATTGAGTGAGTTAAATCCTCACTGGGTGCTCAATGCTTTCGGCCTCGTGCCACATCTGAGCTACGCTTACTAAATTATTATATAAAGTACGATGTTTATCCATAGATTAATAAATGAAGGAAATTATTTTGAACTGCCGGTACGCTGACACATTCCCTTTGAAAAACAAGTCCGAAAAAAACAAATGCCCATTAAAATCGCACTCCGTGAAATAGGGTGTAAATAGCGAAATAACAAAAACGTTATGTTTATATGTATTAAGAAGCTATTTTAAAAGTATTTAAAATTGAACACACACACACACACACACACACACATATATATATATATATATATATATAAAAGTGAACATAGAAGTCAACATAGAGGCGACAGTCTGTTTCATGCTAGATGCAATCGTCAGGCCTGACGATTGCATCTAGCATGAAACAGACTGTCGCCTCTATTTTTGACTTCTATGTTCACTTTTCTATTTACACACGCTCTACTCTGATATTGAGCACTTTATCCCATGAATATAGCACATCTTAAGACTATATTTCTTCATATATATATATATATATATATATATATATATATATATATATATATATACTTTATTTTAGGATATTACATCAATACATGTAACAAACGCTACACAAATGCAATCATGCTTCGATGCGTATTAATACATCTCATCAGGCGTTATTGCTCTACGTTTCTATTGAGCCCTCTTTTAATTTTAATTTGAATGTTACCAACGTCGGAATTGGACTATATACGTTCTCATTTTACACACACACACAATTGTGTATTTGAGCACTATACAAGTTTCGTTAAAAACGACTGACAAGTACTGCGGTTAAGTTTTTTTTTATTTAATTTTTCCCGTGTTCTTTTTTTTCTTTTCTGGACGCAAACTATGTAGAAATTGTCTGAATGTTCTGCTTTCAGCTATTCTTTATCTATTATCAAGATACATGCATAAAAATAAAAATTTACACATTCAGTTAAAATTAAAGATAAAATCAACCTTGACAATGGTTATAAGAATAGCCGAAAGCGCTCAGACATACGGAACTTTCGTACAATTTCTACATAAGTTATGTCCAGAAAAGAAAAAAAAGATGAAAAATCCAAGAAAAATTAAACAATAACTTACCCACATTACCTTAGTTGTTTTAACGAAACTTCTGGGTTACAAACGAATGAACTTCTTTCATCGAGGTTTTCCTTTTTGCTTTGATAGTTTTTTTCTTTCTTATGTTTCTTTCTTTATTGTATTTTGTTAAAATAAAACCCCGTAAAAATACTGCAATCGGTGAAAATTTTGGGGGCCACTCGTATTCAAGGATACCCGTCTACTACGGCGGCTAGCCAATCCCTATTGCAGACACTTGCTCAGGCGTATTTGTGTTTATTCAACACCCACAGAGCTCACCGTTGGTTTATACTGCATCTATGCTGAGCAGACCTTAGTTACAGTTTCTGGGAAAGAGCGTGTTATCTAGCGTGATCAACAATTTGAACAAGGCCAGCACGCTCAATCCCTCGGCTACGACGAACTGTTACTTCGTGCTAGCAAAGCAATCGATGGCACCCAAGGGTTCCATCTACCCAATTTCACTCACAAGGCTTGGGTCAACCCATGGTATGGTTTTCAGACACTTTCCAAAAGTGCCGCACGCTTGGATCGATGTCAGATTCCTGACAAATCGACTATGGTGAGATTCGAACCCGGGTCTCACGGCCAGAATGTGAACGTTCTAACCATTCGGCCAATAAAGTAATATGCAACTCGCTCACGCATACATATATGTGTGTGCATATATATATATATATATATATATATATATATATATATATATATATATATATATATATATATATATATAATAAATCAAAAATTATAAAGAGAAAAATAGTGCACACTGAAAGTGCTCAATCTATAACTGAACAATTTAACAATACACTACACCAGACCGATACCCGCTTTCTGTACATTACAAATTCACCAAATTCAGCAACAAGTTGCATAGTGAATTTCTGTGAGAAGTTTGACCTTGACATGCAAAAGAATTATTACATCTTGTTGTTTGTCCACTGGGATCGTCATCTTTGTTGCGACGTGCGCAGAGTTTGATATTTAGACTGTTCTGGCTGTTACAGAAAATATTGCATAATGCTTGTTGCTTTTGTTGATTGATTATGTCTATCATCTTTCTTTTCTTACATCCCTCCCACTTACATATATATATATATATATATATATATATATATATATATATGATTTTTAAAAAAATATGATTCCTTGCTACTTAAGAGTTCTCATGTTTCAAAAACAAGACCTATTTTTTGTTTAAACTTGAGAAATGTTGTGTTGCGAAGGAATCATATTTAAAAAAAATAATTATATTCATGCTCTACTTTTGTATCAAGCACTGTTTTTTTAAAATAAAAATACTAAAGAACTTCGAATTATTTACCTAACGAGTTTTTCCTATTATATATATATATATATATATATATATATATATATATATATATATATAATGAATACAGAATCCTTAAAAATCCATTCGGTCAGGTGATTATTTATTTCGTGGACTCAGACGTCCATCTCTTCAGATTTAATTTTACAATTTGTAAAATTTGGTCTGAAGAGATTGGTGTCCGAGTCCATGAAATAAATTATCACCTGACCGAATGGATTTTTAAGGATTCTGTATTCATTATTATATTTGCTCTGTTCTTACATTGAGCTCTCTTTGGATTTATATCCTCCTTGAAAGTATCCCTACTAATCATCAAGTGATATATATATATATATATCATTTCACCCCAAGCATGGCAATAATACCACTAAAACGCAAGGAGCTACTGGGAGTAAAAGGGAATGGGAAGATTTTTAGAAAGAACCGGACACCCAATCCTAAACAGGAAAAAAGGGATAAACCTTTACCCCCGTTCAAAAGACCAGGGAGGAGTGTGAACCGGACGATTGGTAGACTTATCTACTCCTATAAATTTATAAATTTTCCTTTCGCGCGTCATGTTATCTTCTATATAGTTATTTGTTAAGCGTGGTGTAGTCTGGTGTAAGGTCACAAGTGTGAAGCACTCTGGGAAGCTCGGTCTCACAGTATTGTGGCTTGCTAACCTATTTTGTTATTATATAATTGCGAAGCATCAAGTATCTTTTGCATAAATCACTTGATAAAATTTTGCTTTCATGGTTTATCGTTCGTTTTATGCGTTTTGTTTATTTTGATAAAATCATAAAATAGCCTTTTTAAAGATAAGCTAAGGATTTTTTTTTTATCTATAAATGTACTTACTTTGTCTACTTGTTTACCAACACACTATCATTTTGTTTATTTTCAAAGTTCAGTACTTCACCCATCCTTCGAGTATTTTATTTTATGTTTTTTTTTTTTTTAAGCTAATTGACTTTCAGCAACGATGAATCGGGGTTTTGCGGTTTCTGTGACAGAGGGAAAATATTTTTGAACTAACACAGAACTGGTTGAAGTTCAAGTCTATCATCAGACAATTATTTCGTATTCGGACCTCTTCGATGTGCCGCGACATTGGCGATCATGTCTCTCCACAATTTCCGGGATTTTGTAGTTCTTAATAAATTTTGTCCTTTTGTTATCTCTCTTAAACCTTGTATCGCCATCCATTTATATTTCTCCTCTCTCGACCCTCTTGCCTTCAATCTGTCCCGTGAGTATTACATTTTCCAAAGTAATGTAACTAATTCAACACTAACTTCTCATTTCGAGCACTATCCATTACACCACACACAACACAACGCACACTTATA